AGAAAAAGTATAGGGTTAGTTTAATGATCTCCAATGAAACCAGGTCATTATCAGAAGAGCAGGTGAGATAAAAAGGAAAGGAGTTAGAAGAAACAAAATCAGCAGTGACACACTGAAAATCTCAGGCCTTGTTGGCAGGGCAGCAAGCTGTGCAGACACATGATAGGTTGCAATAAGTGCAGGAACAGAACAAAAAGTTACAAAAGGCAACTGAAAATTCGAAACAAATTTAAAAAATCACCCCCCCAAGGTAAATCTTGAAGGACAACATGCTCCAAATACTGACATAGCACCTGGAGTGGAGGTAGAAATGGAAAAAGGTGGCTCTTGCAAAATTAAAGAAAGGATCATGGGATAATTGGGATGGTTACTAGGATGGAGATATATGAATGACCTAGATCATTGGTTGTCAACCAGTGGTACGTGTACCCCTAGGGATACTTTAAAGGGTCATAAGGGGTACGCAGAACGAATGAGCGGCCACGAGGACAGCCCAGCGGTATGGAAAAGCCAGGTCGGCTGGTAAGTCTGTTGTGGAGAAATGAAGGGGGGGAAGAAAGGGAGATGGGGGGGCCCTGTGGTGAGGGAGGTAAGGAGTGAGGCAGAGGCAGGGGCAGGGGTAGGCACTGCATAGCCAGGGTGGACCAGGGAATGGAGCTGCCAGGGGGCTCAGAGAGTAGGGGCAGCTCCCACTGCTGCACACATGCCAGGAGGTCATGGAGGCACGTGCCCCAGATCTGTGCGCAGAGCAGGGTGGGCTGGGGCTCTGCTGAGCTCTTCCCAGTGGAGGGGCTGGGCTGAGCTGTGTTTGGGGTGGGCAGCAGCAGTGCTGGGAAGGGGCTATGGGGGGGGCCAGCGGCCACCCTAAAATTTGCCATAGCCCCCCTTCCAGCACTACTGCTGCCCACCTCAAGGGCAGCCCAGCCCAGGACCTCACCAGAAAGAACCCAGCATTGCCCCAGCCCACAGGGGCAGCCAGCCCCGCCCCACACTCAGATCCAGGGGCACGTGCCCCCCGTGCCCTCCCAGGGTTCATGCAGTGGCAGGAGCCACCCCCACCACACACTCCTTGGACAAGCTGCTCACAGCTCCGTCCCACACCACACCCCAGCTGAACACAGCCTGCTTCAGCCCCAGCTCCACTGCTTCCCCATAGGCAGAAGAAGAAAATATGATTGGGAGGGTGAGCGCACATGCATACATGCACCCCGCCCCTCTGCCAGCAGGTATGTCTGTTGTGGGGAAGCGGTGAGGGGGCAAATCAAGGCCCCTGCAGTTAAGGAAGGAGTGGGGCAGAGATGGGCAGGGGCTGGGGTGAACAGGGCCCCAGGGCAGGTCATGGGAGACTTGAAGCATGGGCAGCTCATCCAGAGTGTGCGGGGGCTCCTTCCGCTGCACACATCCCCAAGGCAGGTAGAAGGGGCATGTGCCCCCCTGATCTGTGTGTGGGGCAAAGGCAGCTGCCACTGCAGGCTACTCTCCACACCCTGCTGCCAGTGCCCCAGGAGCAGCACAATATGCACTGGCTGTTCTGCCTGCCTCCTGCACACAGCTGAGTCTAACCTGGCCCAAACTGTTATGGCATAACTATGATATATATATTTAATGCATATATTAATAATGCATTTAATGTTAATTAGTGTAGCCAGCCTTAAATTACATAATTGGTAATATTAAAAACAAGAAAATAAATGGGGTACATAAGCTGAAAGTTTGAGACAGAAGGGGTACACTTGTTAAAAAAGGTTGAAAACCCCTGACCTAGATCAACCACCATCCAATGACTCATGAACAGTAGCCACTGTACCACTACCACACCATATGAAAGCTAGGTTTCAAGAAATCCTATTCTGAAACCTAGAACAATACCTGCAAAAGCAGTAGAGATAGAAGTGAATGAAAACTTAAAAGAAATCCACTGAGTCCACCCTTGCTCATAGGAGGAATGGATCACCTAGTTTTAATAAAATCATACATGAAATAAATCAACGCAGCCACAGATTCCTCAAAATCTACCCATGCTAAAATCATGTTGCCTATCACAGGGGGTACAACACTTAAAGGGACAGAGCAAGCAGAGTTGTACCAAAGATTGATGTATTAAATCAATGGAACAAACAACTGGGCAAAATCTGTCTACAGGTCATGCAAAGTCATGTGCAGACCAATGTAGATAGGGCATGAATGCATAGATAGGTATAACAAGATAACCTCAAAACAGTGTCTAACCCACTGGGTTACCATCTGTCTGTAAATTATTCTTTTTCATGATGATGGTGCAAGATGTGCAATCTTATCATGAGATGTGTGAAAGGGATAGTTGGGCTCGGTGCTGGATAGTCTGGTGCCTGTGTGATATGACTAGGGCAAGAACACCTAGAACAGGATACCCATGAAGCCAAGATACAGATGGAATGTGATACTTAATTTGTTGTGATCGCTATATAAAAGGAGAATTGGAAATCAAGGGAACTCTGTAGCAGCCAAGGGGAGCCTGTGTGGTGTTGTTCCAACTATCTTGTCCCATGTAAAAATGCATTAATACCCAGTCTGATGTACTTAAGCCAAAACATGTTAGGGCTATGCTAGTAGGCAATAAACCTGGCCAAATCTTTGCCACTGTACTGAGCCTGTAATCGTTCTTTAAGACAAGATTATTGTTTGGATTTCCTGGCTGAGACTTTGGCCAGTACCACAATTGCTGAGACTTCAACACTGACAATGCATCAGTAACACTCAACAAGGATGCCACCAACAACCACACTGGTGACCCTGACAACACAGCTCTGCTACATTTCTTTGTTCTCTTAGTAATGCCATCAGCTTCGTAATTTGGGCTCGGCAAGTGGGGTGTGAGAATTAGGTGCTGACTTAAAGGGGGTCATCCTCAAGGTCCCCCTGTGCTCATCCACTCTACTCAGCATTTTCCAAACCTCTTTTGCACTCCCTCATCCGTCTAATGGACCTCTCTTCCAGCTGCAGTGCTGCTCCTCTGACTTGATTATCCATGGTGTCCCAACACTTCTGATGCCATGTCTGCTGTCTTGCCCCTGAATTTGCCCCTGCAGATCATCTACAAGCATGCAACTGTTTGGCACTTGGTGTTGTGGATAAGTGAAGTAGCCCTCCACACAGAGCAGGGAGGACTGGGAAGCTGTGAAGTAGAGAAAGAACCTTCCTGGCAAGCTTTGCCATAGCAAGTGTAGCTGACTATTTGGGTTGCAAGAGTGACAATGAGGTTTGGGAAATGCTGGCCCAGGATTCATATCTTACTAGTTTAGTTACATCTCTGAATGCCATCTCCACATTCTAGATGGATTGCTCTTTCCTTCCTCCCTTTCTTTTTTTCCCCCTTTTCTCTGATCTATCTTAAGTTCTGGTCTCTTTCTCTTCCACATTTGCACCCTCCTCATTTTCTCCCTTTCCTTCACCCTATTCTTCTTTGTTCTCTACATTTTCAGGCTGGAGAGACATCCCCCTTCTCCCAGCTTTATAGTCATCCTGGCCTTCCCCCAGTGGGTCCTTTTCTAACATTGCATTTGCTCCCAATCATCCTGTCAAAGGACAAAATGGCATGTGCAGAGACTAAACTTCAGAAGCACTTCCTCAGGCTATTGTTCTCTGCCATATTGAAAATACATTTCTCCTACATAGGTTGAAATCTATACCCAGTCTCAGTGCTAACTTATAAAAAAAGGGTGAGTTACTAGGTATGTATACTTAATGTATATCCATGGCTGATGCATGTGGTTTGATAACATATTACCTGGTAATTGTGGAATAAAGGTCTCATTGAATGGCTTTACAATGTCGGACGTCATGGCTTGTCATCACTCTTCCCCTCCAAACTTTTCCATTCTGTAGTCCCAACCCAATCTGCCCTAATTTTGTACATTTGTTTTCTGAAATTCCTGCCGCCTCCTCCTCTTCACTGTGTGGAGTAGTTAGAAAACTTCAGGAACTAGCAGGGTTTGCTAAAACAGCCTATTTCTGTTGCCTTCAAATACAGATCTGTGAAAATACAGCAGTACTGTAAAAACCCACTTCATTCTTCATATCATTTCCTAGTAGTAGCGTACCTACAGCACCAATTTCAAACCAGCTCTGCTACTCAAGTTTGTTTGCAACACACCTCTGTTGCTTAGCAGCACATAAACCATAGCTCTTGTCAAGATTCACAACAAACTGTAGCTATTATTTATTTGCATAAATATAAAGAGATTAAACGAGGAAAGCCCCATGGATTTATTACCAAGCAGCATGACCTTCATACATATAGCATCCCTATGCTATAATTATGCTTTTTCTTCTTCATTGAAAGAGGTGCAGAAAACTTCATGGGGGTGGGGGGGGAGGGGAAGGAGGGAGTGTCAATATATCAACAATTGAAATATTTTCACAGAAAACTAGAATATTATTGTTCTAAATGGTGCTGTGGTGCCTTGTGGAAGCTGTAATTTAAATGCCTTATGCTGCCATTCTCCTCTATGGGCTGAACAAATTATACATCCCATGGTACAACACTCCCTTATTGGAAAGTGGCCCTGGTGCATCATAGAAGATATGGTCCATTAATTTTCAGGTTTTGGCCCAAAGCTTTTTTTTTCTGGCTGACATGCAGCTAATGTACACTGCTGTCTGACTGTATGTAAGTGTATCCAGCAACATTTTCCATTTCACTTCCAACCTCTCGCATATTATAACTATACAACCACTGGGTCAGGGAAGGTCCAGACGCAGCTCATTCTGCTTGCCCCCTCATCAGCACCTGCTGCAGGTCAGTGGTACGCAGAATTCACTGGGAAGGGAAGATGTCAGTTTTTCTAACACTTCTTAAAGTGCAGGTCATTACTGAGACTCCCTTGGAAGACGACGGAAGGAGTTCCAGATGCAGCTCCCAGGTTTTCTACTGAAGGTGCTTATGGAAAGATCTTTCCCATTGGTTGGTCCTAAACACTGCTTCTTGCTCCTTTTTCTCACCAAACAATGAAGATAGCCAATCAGCTTTGAGAGCTCTGTGAATTCACATTTGTTGACACGTTGCTGGGCAACACCTGGGAGAGGAGAGGGAGACTCCCATTTCCATGGCATCAGAAAATTCTAACCTTTCAAGCCCTGTTGTTGGTAACACAGCAGGGGGACTATAATGTGGGGGTTTAAGTGCTGCGATCACAAGGTAAGACAAGAAAAAGTTTACATAGAGAATTAGAGAAAATGTGCTTTATTTTATGGTCTTTGAAATCTGTTGTTTAAGCTGCAGAGTTTCTCTTTTTAGAAGACAGGAGCAAGAATCAAAATCCAGAATCAAAATGCCCATGTTCTTGGGGGAAATTAGGATCTAGATCTAAATTTTGCTGCCTACACCCTTTTAATCAGGGATAATTTTTAGAGTAAATTGTCAATGTACTTCCTTCAGACTCTCTGGCCATTCAGTTCAGATGATTCCATGAATGCCTTAAAGGTAACAGGATAGAAAAATAATAAAGCTCCCAGCTCAGGCAGTGAGTGGGGAAATATGAAAACCATGTTTGTGATGTTTGCATAGAAGTGATTCTTCTGGCCCTTAGGAAAGCTGGGCTGTCTATTTGACTGAATACAGGACTGAACTCTGGGAACTGTTGCATTCAAATTGCAGCTCTGCCATGCTCTTCCTCTGTGGCTTTGGAGGACTCAGTTAATCTGGTTACACCTCAAATTCATGTTGGGTTAGACACATGATCACATTTCCCAATGTCACAGTGGTGATTGGGTAATTAAGCCCCTTCTTTCACGCCAGAAATCAAACACAAATAGCCCATTGTGCAGGATACCTACAGATCTCTGAGACTTGAAGAAAATAGATTATTGAGGAGAACAGATTTAAGTAGTTTTTTCCCCACCAACATTGGTTGATTTGTGACTATTTGACAAATTAATTGCTTATGCAGTTTCTTTCTTTCTTTAGCACATCTCACTTGTACAGGCCACCAGGGCAGAAACATAGGCTCTGTGGGAAAACCATGCTTAGCTTCCTTCCCTCATTCCATTTTCTTTCAGATGGAAACCAAATTTGATTATTCTGATATTTAAGGAGGGGGGAAAGTACAAAAAAAAATTATAATGTACAACATTTTGGATACTGGAAGTTAAAAAACCTTACTTGATGAGCAGAATAACCACAACTGGCATGTGAATTATTGACCGTACCACATCACAGAAAAAAGTACAAATGAAACTACATATGTTCCTTGTTGAAAATTTCCAGTTGTGATTTAACTTTATGCTGACACACATAAAATGATCTCCTCTCCAGGGGTATAGTTGATAGAGTTGTTGCTCAAATTATTAGCATAACTGACATCAGTGCAAAATTTACTAGTGTTTTATTTCATTTGGCATTTTCATTAATCCAGGAATCTAGTATTTGATTTGGAAAAGGAATGTTGGGCTTCTAACTAGATAAAGCTTATTTTGCAGCTTAGAGTTTGGGTATGCATATTTTACATTGTTCTTCATTTAACTGACATTATTTAGGGTATTTCAGGCTGCTGTTCTATATATTTTTCCATACACTCATGAATTTGAATGAAAACCTGGTATTTGAAGAATTGCAAGACAGAAAACAAGATATATAAACAAATAATATGAATAACAACATAAATGAGGAGAAAGCAAAGCTAAAAGTAGTAAAATTATAATATCATCAAAGCATAATGGGAACAATTAAGGACTCAGACCAGTAGATCTTATTTGTGGCATCCCATACTGATGACACAGTCTGTCAACATTGATGCTGTAGCAAAGAGACATTTTTCTTGCTGCAGAAGCCCATGTTTTTAAAAAATGACGGGAATATTTTTTCAGATAAGGGTATTGTGGCACACTGTTGGTGTCTGCCACTTTAAGGGCTGACCCAAACAGCCAGCAGGTGCTTGGTTACGGTGGCCATTTTAGAACTCTGGCCACCAATATAAACAGAGCAGTTCACTGCTGGCAAGCCAGGCAGGAACATTGCCTGGCTGAAAGACTGTATGTAACATCTTGGAGGTAAGGGCAGGAGCTTAGGGGGATGGTTTGGAGGCTCCTGGTCCTGGGCATGACCTAAAACTGCACCCTACCAGGAGTGGGTGGCTTGGTGGGGCTCCCAGTGGTGCAGGAGTCCCCAGGAAATACCAGGCCAGTTATCATGCCAGTGAAAGGTGGGGTGGGTTGCCTTAATCCCAAGCCCCCACAATACTGTGGGCACAAGGGGTCCAGGCATGGCTATGGCCACCTGAGCCCAAGGAGGGTGTAAGACCCAGATGGGGTCTGGCACAGCTACGGCCACCTGAGCCCCCACCGAGGAGGGAAGCCCTGTGGCCCCGGTGAGGGGACAGCCCCAGTGAGGGGGAAACCAGAGGGCCGGGAGCCCAGTATGTGTATGTGAGTGTATAGAGTTGCTCTGGGAGGGGCCAGGGCAAGTTTGGACCCAGCTGGGTAATTGGCTGGCCACTACCCCAGTGAGGGTCATGGGAGAGGCCCAAAAGATGGTATGTCTGCCACCCAAGGTATGAGCTAAATAAAGCCTATGGCTGAAGGGGCCTGCTCTGGGAGGGGGCAAGGTGGTATAAGTTGTCAATGCATGAAAGAGACCCTGTAAGAGGGGGTGGAGTGTGAGAGGCCCTAGTGAGAGGAGGGTGGTATGTGTGTGTGTGTGTGTGTGTGTGTGTCTGAGGCCTGACAACAAGGGCTAAGCTTTGTCCGGCTGTAGGCCAGGAGCATTGTGTCATCTAGATGCCATTTGTGAGGCTTGGGCTGTTGTGTAGGGGAGGAATGGAACCGCAAGTAATGCCCCCTGGCTCTGGGGCAAGAATGGACAGCCTCCTGCCTAATTAATACAATAATTATGTATTATCAAAGCATGGCAGAAGAGGAGGTGGGTGGTTGACCCATAAACATGTGGGTGGGCCTATGGCAGGCCAGCCCCGAGAGAGCTCCCTGTTACAGGTATTAAAAAGTCATCATCAGCTTGCAGCTGATTGGGACACCTGGTAAGTTATTACTCTGTTCCTTACAGCTTCCATACAACTCTATGCTGTGATGTGCTCACATTAATTGAGTCCAAACAGTTTTTGAATGTGAGGCATTCTAACTGCTATTTACATATAGCAGAAAGCAGGAAGGGATTTAATAGTTAACACTCTTACCTGAATCACGAGGGGCATCTTTAATCCTGCTCCAGGGGGTGGGGTGCTTTAATTAGAGCAGCTCTCAGCTCTAATTAAAGTGCCCAAAGTGTCTTGTGTATTCAGCATCCCACACTTCAAAATGGCAGCAGGGTTTTTTTAACTAAAGCTTATTTGATGCGCTTTAGTTAAAGTTCCCCCACTGCCGTTTTGAAGCATGGTGACACTGAATACATGAGATGCCGAGGCTGCTGGAGCATGCTAATTAGCACACTCAAACAGACTCAATTAAATGAGTCTGCTCCAACGCACTGTAATTACAGCACATTGGAGCAGGTGTCCTGCAGATCTACATGTACCCTACAGTAGGCTGTTTATACATGTTACATTTTTCTAGGTTTAATCTGGACTACAGCCATCACTATATACATGTGGATGTCTTGTAGCCTGAATTAAAATTAGCTCCAATCCAAATTAACTAATCCTCATTGGAAGTTAATACAGACTAAGACAGTCCAAACTAGGCAGTTTAAACTGTATTAATTAACAGGTATATATGGTGATACTTTTAGAAAAAACAGGCCTTAGACAAGATAAGCATTGCAAATATCAATCCCTGCAAGGGAAACTCAATTGGGTTTTGGCAACACAGTAGAGGCTATCAGGCACAAAGTAACATCTTTACAAAGTCAGATGTGCCAACAGCACCTCACCAGCCATGTCTATACATGCATTAATGTGCCTTTGCTACTGCATATTAAGTTTATTACCTATAATATGAGGTACTACATAAATGTGCAGTAACTGGCACTAATGCACAGTGTTGTTTTCCACCCCTGTGATCCTCACCGCCAGGCATTTGCATTTTCACAGACCTGCATTTTGCATTTTGGCTTCTATTCTATGCAGGAGAGCACACAATTCACCAGCAGACTCTCG